TCTCTTATTACCCCTGTTGCGCAGGGTACCGTTCTTTCTTGGACCCCAGCATCTCCCCAGAGTTCCTGGCAGCCTCTGAGCAGTTCTTCTCCACCATGGTGCCTCCTGGCGTCTACATGAGGTGAGGGAGGGGCTGGCAGTGGAGGAGGCATAGCACACTGGTAGAGATGAAGAATCAACAGCCTTGGGGGCCTGGGGCCTTTTATACAACTCCACAGTAATGGGGGAAGAGAAGCAGAGTTTGGAACCCTGAAATAGGACCCTGGGATAGGAGTTTCAAACTTAACAACTCCTCCTAATGGCTGAAGTTTAGCTGCTGAGAGCAGGACTTGTCCAGCAGTTGGGTTATTCTCTTCACTCCTTTCCTTACCACTCTATGTGGACAAAGAGCAACCGATACCTTCAATCCACACACATTGCCAAATCTCTGCTGTGTTCAAAGAAGTTCAGCCCTCCGTCCTGGCCAGACCCCTCTGAGTCCCTCACCCCACTCAACCCCATGTCAGCTTTTCCCTGAGCTCTCATCCCATCCTTGATGCCCCATTTCAGAAATGCCAGCTGTCATTTCCAGATGGTCCTGAACCAGGGTCTTGGCAGCTCCCCAGCTCTCAGAGTCTGCAACAGCTACTGGATTCGGGAGGTCAGCCTGGGGTCTGAGTCAGGGGAAGGTGGGTCAGCGTCAGTCGTGACACACAGGCTGGGAAAAGCAACCGTTCCAGTTGCTTTTTCAGGTGTTGCCTCTCCAGGTAGTAGGAGATGAAGGGGAGAATGATCAGAAACTTATCTGGTGGGGCGCCTGGGGGGCTCAGTTGGTTAAGTGTCCTACTGTTGATTTCAGCTCAGTTTATGATCTCAGGATTCGTGAGTTGGAGGCATTAGGCTCTGTGCTGACAGTGTGGAGGCTGCTTGGGATTCTCTTTCTCCTCCATCCCTCCTTCTCTCTCTGCCCTTCTCTCTCTCTCTCTCTCTCTCTCTCTCTCTCTCTCTCTCTCAAAATAAATAACTTTGAAAAAAATACTTATAGCTTTGAAAAAAACACTTAAGAAAATTATCTGGAGACAATAGCTCAGGAGTCTAGGACTGGCCAAGGGCCCTTAGTCCTGAGGTGCTGCAGTGGTTCAGGGTGACAGGGACCAGGCTTTGGGGAGAGGCCCAAGAGCCTACTTTAAATGTGTTGTTGTCTATTTCCAGAACGCCAATCTGAACAGTGCCCAGGCGGTGAATCACCTGCTGCTGGGAATGGCCTCCCAGATTTCAGAGATGGAAGACAGGATAGTGGTTGAAGATCTGAGGGGTAAGCTTGGGAGCTAGATGGGATAAGGGTCCAGAAGCCTGGGAGCCTGGGGACCCCTCTGGGTTAATCAACAATTAGACCTTAGGGTACCTACAATGCAGGAACACAGATACACATGCTGTAAATTGCCACTAGAAGAAAAATCTTTTAACTTTTTT